TATGTGATGCCGATTTAGTTACTAGAAGCGGAAAGTCGCAGGAACTTCTGGTTCCAAATAGAATAACCCTCCTGGGTTCCGCGCTCTCGAGTTCGGCAAATCACTTGAAAACTGGTTTTCATTCATTTTGGAGCATTTGAAGATATTGAAACATGCGTATCTTTTTCATCTATATTAAGTCATGATGGGTTCCCAGATACGGGAACCTCCCGGGTTCCGCGTTCCCGAGTACGGGAACCCGCTCGGGTTCCGCGTTCCCAGGTACGGGAACCCGGACTAAGTTTCGCGTTCCCCGATCCTGATTCCAAATATATCATTTTTTTAAATACAAAGCCGAATAGTTTAAGTGGAAATGAGTCACTAATAAGTCAAAAAATTCAAATTTTAGCACTGTGGAGGATTGTGCCTTTGAGTTAACTGTCTTCCCCACAAATTAAGCTCAATGTAATAGTATCATTTTGTAGAGCTTCAAAAGAGCTATCGAATAGTGACTAATTCAAAGTGGACCTGTATTCTGCTAGTACCATAGAATGGGATTTTCTCATGAGTACCTGTATATTGGTACATAGGAGTGTACAAAGTCATCTGAAGAAAACAGTGAAAGAACAATATTTTGTCTCACTATTTCATGTCATTCGATAGAGGAAAGAAGGAACTTGTATTTGACATAGAACTCAAATAAAAAAGTGTTTAAAATGGAGGCAATATACTTCATGCGAACACTGCATACCGCAACCTTATAGCAAACAGACAAGATCAAAATTTTAAGTCACTCGGGCGCAGGCGTAACTAGGGATAACTGGTTAATTCGAACGATAATTGACTTTTGACATCTCAATAGACTATTTGGAAAATGTAAAACTCAATTTCGAGAGGGGGCCGATTTCATCGCTTAACGACCCCCCCCCCTCCTTTGTTCATCAAACCTTTTGGATGTATCTAGGAAACAAGTAGCGGCATATGTTGGATTGTACTATTGTGTATAAGAAATTCTGGTCCAGTATCGAGGATGCAAGGTGTTTCCGAAGAGCTGCCGGTGGGATCGGCACTGATCATCATCTGATGAGGAGTAAAATTAAACTACATTTGAAATCGAGGTAGAAAATCAAACAGAACAAACAGCCACAACTAGATCTTTCCAAGTTAGAAGACCAGTCAATTTTAGAACAATGTCAAAATGATATTAAAAGCAAAATTCAACAATTGAAACACAAGGATAATAACATTAATACGAAGTACCAAACATTTTACCAATCTATTACGGATGCTGCAAAAGAACATTTGAAGTGAGATAACAACAATAAAAGAGATCTTAGAGGGGGTGGAGAAGAAACCGTTAGCATATCTCCAGTGGCAAAATTATAGTGATGCATCATCAGAAAAAACATATAGAAAGAGGTATGTAACGTGGAGAAAACTTGTGAAGATATTAGTTGATCAACAACAAATTGAATACTGGAATTAACTTAGTGAAGAAATTGAATAAACCATCAAGCAGTACGATCCAGTTACAGCTAATGCTATGATCCGACAATTAAGAGGAAGAAAACAAAATGTGAAAAATATACCAATTCAAGATAAGAATGGGAAGTTACTGTTGAACGTGAAAGATAGATGGCTTGTCGGAGAGAGTATTTTTCAGAATTACTAAATATGCACTCTACGATGCATCCATCATCTATTGATCAAATCTCAGTGCCAACAACTTTATCAATTGAAGAAGATAGACAAGATAAATCGCTAACTCTGCAAGAAATACAAGAAGCACTGACACAAGTGAACTGCAAGAAAGCTTCTGGAAATGACTATTACAGCACACCTGATGAAAGTAGAAGATCTGCCAATGCTCAAATGGCTTCATGAAATCTTTATTGACCTCTGGGAAAAGAAAGGGACTGTTGAAGATTGGACGTTGGCTGTGTAGTAATTTGCCTATTCAAGAATAAAGGTGACAAAAAACGATGTGATAATTATTGTGGCATCTCTTTGTTGGTGGTAGCAAGCAAACTTTTCACTTGGGTAATTCTTAATCGTATTCAAAACGTGATTGACGCTCAACTAGTAGAACAAAAAACTGACTTTCGACAACCTAGATCGACTATCGCTCAAGTTTTTATACTGCAAATGCTAATGGAAAAATCGAGAGAATTTAGCACACTATTGTTCATGTGTTTTATTGACATTCAAAAGGCTTATGACTTCGTGAGCAGAGAATTATTATGGCAGATATGCAAACATTATGGATTAATAGAGAAGATTGTTCGGTTATTGAAATTAAGTCATAAAAATACAGGAGCGAAAGTTAGAATTAATAGTGAAGCATATGAAAGTTTCGACATTGAAACTGGTCTTACAACAATATGGAATTCCATCAATAGTACTATTCAATATTTCCTTTGATTTTATTATCAAGGAAGTTTTACAGGAAGCAAAAATTGATGGAATTAAATTTTCTTTCGGAAGTAATGATTATTATCACGATCCTGACGAGAAGTACGGGAACGTAGATATAGTGGTATCAATGTATGCAGAAGGCTTAGTAGATACATGTAACGATATGGATGATCTGGACAACTTTATTCATATATTTCACAATATAATTCAGAAGTATAGACTAACCATGAATGTAAAGAAGACTTGCATCATATTCTTGCAACATTTCAAAGAAAATGCTAATGGAAAAACAATGAAGCACCAAGAAATGGATAGTCAAAATATTAACATCATTATCAGAAATCAGAAAATTGAAATGTTTGACTCTTTCACTTATCTTCGATGCCTGATTTCCAAAGATCAGATACTAGATAAAGAACTAGAATCATGGCTGACAAAAGTAACGACGACTTTTAATATGCTGTGAAGTATAATCTGATACAGGAAAAAGATGGCCATTACTGCAAAGCTATGTATCTTTAGATCATGTGTAATACCAGTACTATTATATGGAAGTGAAACATGGGCGCCAACATCAGCTCAAGAAAACAGGCTCAACAACTTTTATATGAAATGCTTGAGAACGATACTAGGCTTAAGCCTAGACGATCGTGTTTCAAATGAGAAAATTATGCAGTTATCAGGCCAGCCTAAGATGGAAAATTTCCTAAGAAGAAATCGTTTGAGATGGTTTGTACACGTAAATTGAATGGGAAAAGACAATGAAGCATTGGTGGCGAACAAGATTATGTTCTATTACTTTCCTGATAGTAAACGACCTAGTCATATAGGTGTTGGAAGACGATGGGAAAACAAAATTGTTGACGACACCGCAAAGTTCAAAATTAACAATTGGAGAAGTAACACGAAGAACACAGACAAATGGCGAATGTTAATTAACAAATTTATGGAAATACAAGCTGTTCATCGAGATATCAAAAGTATTGTATGCGAGTACAAACAACGTACTGTCAAGAGAAGAGCAGAGGAATTAACTGGTTTAATACGAAGAAAAGAAACTAAGATTCTGATGAAAGATGAAAATAGTATGTACACCTGCCCAGAATGTCAGAAAAAATTCAAGGCACAAGATATAACAAATCATGTGACAAGCTGCGCCAAAATAGGGTGTACAAGGAACAAAACTAATTAAAAGAGTTTGTAGGAACGAAAACAAATTGAATATATGGATGTTGGATACAAATGAAGAGAGTCATCTAAAACCCATTGAAGGATGATAATCTGACACGTGGCCTACACCATTATTTCTAATGAGCAAACAAGGTAGAGACCAAATGGAATACGTCAATTTTTCTTCTTATCTTTTTCTTTCTCTCTTTTCCCTTTGTTTTTTAACTTATTTTTTTTTTTTTCGTTTCCTACTGTTGTCATTTTCAATATTGCCTTTGTGCCTACTTTGTGCTTTTGTGCTGTCTGACTCTAAACTACAAGGTATGGGTATTACTTACTTACTACTTACTAAATGATCTTAGACTGTGTATGAATAGATCAAGCAGAGAAAAGAAGGCTAGAACGGGAAAATAGAAATATAAATAGGTTGCTCAGCAAAAAGCATCCGAAAGAAGGCAGTTGGTAACATGTGAGAAAATAATAACATCCTTTTTCTTCTTGTGTGACTACAGTCGAATAAAATCCCCATGAGAAACTATCCAAGCAATGTCGTATCGAATCGAATCCGCATCAAGGTTCTCTTATTCGCTTCAACCGCTGAAAAAGACTATGAGAACAAGAAATCATCGCAGAACTTATATAAAAAAACTTGATGCTAGTCCTGTCAAAAGAACACAGGTAGACAATGTATCATTTTAACGTCTAACAACGCATTGAAATATGTATTTTTCGCGCTAAAAAACGACGAAAAAAAGATTTTGTGTCTGTAAAAAGTAAGTTTGTGAGCATCATTGCCTTAAGACTTACTTTCTTTTCCGAAACAAGCATGCAAGCGGAGTCCTTTTGGAGCTCGAATATGACACTCACAAAACCCGTATGAGCTAGCAGAAAACATACTCAAAGACAACTAATACTAAGTAGTTGCTAAGATCTGTAATGGGGTAAAGGATACCTTGGTTACTAAGATTCGTAGTTTCGAACATTCTGGTTGCCAAGATCTGTAATAAAAGGCATGAGCGGAAGAAGCCACAGAACTTCGCTTAAAACTTAAAATCACTATTTCTCTTCAAAAATATATATGAGGTTAACAGAAACAATTTTTTTGATACGTAAAAAGCATATGTTAACACGTAAAAACGCGTTTCCTATCGATTTGCCTATCTGAGTAACATTCTACTCCCAACTTCCTACCATTGAACTATTGACTCAGCCTATCGGGATACCGAATGAACTGGCATTGATGTGCCGATCCGGTTCCAATTCTGTCTTTTGCTGAATCATTCCATGCCTCTTGACGTTCAGGTTCGAACAGCCTACGTTGAGGGCGTATTTCGCACAAGTTACTCACTGAACCATAGCACCTACACACTAAAACAATGATGTGTACTACTGGGTAGAAGCGTTGATTGGTGAAGTTTTCAGCACCAGCCTCGAAACGTTTAGAAAACTCAGTGACAGCTGTGCGTGAGCCGCCTCGGAAACGAAGTTTTCAGAGGCGGTGCTGGTGACGACAGTGGTGAGAAAAGTATTTTTTCTTGGAAAAACATGACCCATCTCTTGTTTATGTTTAGACTTTGCTCCCATGATAGAAGACCCTCGCAAAATAGAAGAGTTTTCCACTTCAGGAGATCTCATCAGCGACCTTGTTCTGTAAGCTACATCAGACAATCTTCAACATTAATAAATACAAAACACAATCTTTATATTATTATTACTAATTTTGCATATAAAAATCCAACTGTTCGCAAAAAAAGCTAAAATACTTTCCTTAATATTTTACTTTGCTCCTTGATCAGTGCAGCGAGCATTTGTGGAAGTAGAGAAGCTAGCCGATCGATCATGCGAGGGCAAATACGCCACATCAAACACATATTTTTCAGCGTTGACGGCAGAAAAATATTATGGGGTATCTAGACCAGCCTAGAAATATTCATACTCTCAAGCACGGTACCAAAGAAATGCCATGGTATTGTCAAAGTGCTTATATAATGCTCAAGCTGGTGTTATAAGTTGAGAGTTGTAGTGATATACGATAGCTACAATCTATTCTTTGACCATAATGGAGCATTATGAGAGGGCGTGTGAGTATAGGTGGCGGAAAACAGATCTATCGTTATACTTTCTCATATGAAATTTCAGTTGAACTTTCGAATGATAAGCGGAAATTTTTATGCTAGTAAGTATGACAAGCAATATTCACCGTCTATTTTGTTCTATTCTGCTATTGAATTTACTTTATCAAATATGCTACGTACCTCTTTCTCTACGAATGACGAACGAGTGTCATTCATTTCATAGTGCCTATGTAATTAACCAACACAACGATAAAGGTTGCTCTGTGTGTATCTTTCGTCGTATGGTAACTCAACACTGAGCAAATTCTGTCTTATTCACAGCTCTAATGTTGATCAAATATTGATGGGATACGTGATTAAGTTATGCAGAAATTCGAGATTTCGTACGATGTCAACTTATTCTTCAAGGTTATAATAGGGAGTGTAACAAAGATAATGAGACTAATCATATTTTGGTGATTTTCTCAGTAAACTTTCGCTGTAGAAATATATATGTATATGCTCAAAAGATTTCCCATTGAATTTTCTTCAAAATCATATCCGAATGTGTCCCCTAAAGTCCTACCCAAGCAAGCAAGAACTGATTTTAACGTGTTAAAAAGTGAGGCATTACCGTCTTTAGATTCACTTTCATCACAAAAAACGATTTTTTGAAAATTTAAAAATCGTAAATTACAGCGCGTGAAAACGCATTTTATATCAATTTTTGTCTCACTGAGTAGTGCGAAAAAATGAGTAAGTAATACTGCCATTCATTTACATCTGAACCTTTCTAACGCAAAACAACTATGCTATTGGCATTATTACTTGGAACTTAGCTATTACGAAGAAACTTACGGGTTATTTTGTATTTTCAAACAAGTGCCATCTTTCAGCTATGTCCAAACAATTCTCATTTTAATCCTCTCCCCTCCCCCCCCCCGC